CAGAGAAGCCCATTTTAAACCAGAAAAGGAAGGAATTTCCTGGCTTCAACTCAAGCCAGAGAAGCCAGTTTTAAAGCCAGAGAAGCCAGTTTTAAACCAGAGAAGGCAGGAATTTCCTGGCCTCAGCTCAAGCCAGAGAAGCCAGTTTTAAAGCCAGAGAAGCCAATTTTAAACCAGAGAAGGAAGGAATTTCCTGACCTCAGCTCAAGCCACTTTTAAACCAGAGAATGAAGGAATTTCCTCTGCTTGCTTCCCCCCGCTTCTGGTCTCTGGCCTCGGTTCAAGCCAGAGAAGCCAGTTTTAAACCAGAGAAGGCAGGAATATCCTGGCCTCAGCTCAAGCCAGAGATGCCAGTTTTAAAGCCAGATAAGCCAGTTTTAAACCAGAGAAGGCAGGAATTTCCTGGCCTCAGATCAAGCCAGAGAAGCCAATTTTAAAGCCAGAGAAGCCAATTTTAAACCAGAGAAGGCAGAAATTTCCTGACCTCAGCTCAAGCCAGAGAAGCCAATTTTAAAGCCAGAGAAGCCAATTTTAAACCAGAGAAGGCAGAAATTTCCTGACCTCAGCTCAAGCCAGAGAAGCCAGTTTTAAAGCCAGAGAAGCCAATTTTAAACCAGAGAAGGAAGGAATTTCCTGACCTCAGCTCAAGCCAATTTTAAACAAGAGAATGAAGGAATTTCCTCCGCTTGCTTTTCCCTGCTTCTGGAGTAAAACAACTACTTTCAAAGTAAAGACCACTCAAAGAAACAGGAAATAACACTTTCAAACCATTAACAAAAGGATTCGGAAGTCTCGGAAGTTTTGAAAAGTATTGAAAAAAAAAAATCTGCGAAAATTGGAATTGACTTTAGAATCGAACCAGCAGTGCCCCCTACATCCAAAATGAGTTTTAAACCATTATTTTTAATTACCCAAGCCTAGTGTCTATATATCTTTAAGTCAGCTGTCAACCTATAGCAACCCATAGGTTTTCATGGGCAAGGAATACTCCAGGGTGGTTTGCAAGTTATAGGAACATATGGGTGCAAATACCCAAGAGCAGTGGTTCTCAACCTTCCTAATGGTGCAACCCCTTAATACAGTTCCTCATGTTGTGGTGACCCCAACTATAAAGTTATTTTCATTGCTACTTCATAACTGTAATTCTGCTACTGTTATGAATAGTAATGTAAATATCTGATATGCAGGATGTAATTTCATTCACTGGCACAAGTACCCAATATATCCAAATTTGAATACTTGTGGGTGTGCAGGGGTGGCAGCTTTTGTCATTTGGGAGTTGTAGTTGCTGGGATTTATAGTTCACCTACAATCAAAGAGCATTCTGAACTCCACCAACAATGGAATTGAACCAAACTTGGCACACAGAACTCCCATGACCAACAGAAAATATTGGAAGGGTTTGGTGGGCATTGACCTTGAGTTTTGGAGTTGTAGTTCACCTGCATTCAGAGAGCACTGTGGACTCAAACAATTATGGATCTGGACCAAACTTGGCACGAATACTCAATATGCCCAAATGTGAATACTGGTGGAGTTTGGGGAAAACAGACATTGAGTTTTGGAGTTGTAGTTCACCTGCATTCAGAGAGCACTGTGGACTCAAACAATGATGGATCTGGACCAAACTTGGCATGAATACTGAATATACCCAAATGTGAACACTGGTGGAGTTTGAGGGAATTTAACCTTGACATTTGGGAGTTGTAGTTGCTGGGATTTATAGTTCACCTACAATCAAAGGGCATTCTGTACCCCACCAATGATAGAATTGGACCAAACTTCCGACACAGAAACCCCATGACTAACAGAAAATACTGTGTTTTCGGATGGTCTTTGGCGACCCCTCTGACATTTCCCTCGCAACCAACCCTCAGGTTGAGAAACACTGCCCTAAAGGCACCAGAATCCATTTGATCCTGGGAACTAAGCAGAGGCAGTGCTTACTAGTACTTGAATGAGAGGCTGCCAGCACATCAAACTCTGTTTAAAAACTTCCAAAGAAAAAGACTTTACCACACTAGGAGACATATTCTGCTGTCAATTAACTCTTACAGTTAGGAAGTTCTTCCTCACATTTAGATGGAATTTATTTTATGTCATTTGAATCCATTGGTTGTCTCTGCTCCATCTTCTACGTATATCTTCTTCAACTATTTAAATAGGGATATCATGACACTTTTTCAACCTTCTCTAAGCTCAACACACCCACCTCCCTCAGCCATTCTTCATAGGGCTTGGAGGTGCAATGTGATCAGTACCGAAAATACTATGACTCCGTGTTGAAATATGTTATATATTTACTATTTTTATTTACTTCACTTGTATATTGCTTTGCTCCCCCCAGTGGGGGACTCCATACTTATGGCAAAATTTAATGCCTTGCATACAGAAACCTAACATAACGATAATAACATACAATTATCAATTAAATCATAAAACACATTAATGTATTTATTAAACATGTTTATTTAAAAATCCCAAAGTGGTTTTATAATGTCACATAAGAAACAGATATTACCTTGTTTCCTGCTTTTTAAAAAATTGCAACAAAACCTCGTGATCAAATAATTAAAAAATAAGTTCACAGTATTAATTATAGCATTTCAACAAAATTTCCACTATAAAAAAAACCAAACCAAATAAATAAAGTGATAAAAACTTGTGAAGGAGTAATAGAAAATTGCAAGACAGTAAAAAGTTTCATGACAATTCTTTGCATATCGACATGAGGTATGGTTTAATTTCAAACAAGAGATTGGTGTGGAAGTTATAGACACAGTGTGGAAGAAGTTACTTTTTATGGGTTACACCTAGCTGAATCTTAGAAAATCCCTAGAGAATATCTTATATATATTGTCAGATGCTGGTAGATGACAATAGAGGTGGGTGATATGCAGGTACTTTTCCCATGGGTATGCAGGTTGTATTGTATGTATAATTAAGTATAGTTAACTAAGTAGCCTCTCATCAACATGATAAAAATGTCATTCCCCCATATTGTCCCGTATTCCGGCTGTTAACAGAATGAACTTCATTTTTCCTATGCAGCTGATCACAATAGATTGTGAGAGAGTTTTGATTGCAGCAACAGTATCACAATCATGACTAAGTAGTGATCCTGAGTATGAAATAGTTAGGGATAATGAAGGCTTTCATGGCCAGAATCACTGGGTTGCTGTGAGTTTTCAGGGCTGTATTGCCAAGTTCCAGAAGCATTCCCTCCTGATGTTTCACCCACATCTATGACAGGCATCCTCAGAGGTTGAGAGGTCTGTTGGAAATGAAGAAATATATCTGTGGAATGTCCAGGGTGGGAGAAAGAACTCTTGTCGGCTAGAGGTACGTGTGAACGTTGTCAATGGGCAGCTTGAATAGCACTGAATAGCCTTATGGCTTCAAAGCCTGGCTGCTTCCTGCCTGGGGGATCCTTTGTTGGGAGGTGTTAGCTGGTCCTGATTGTTTCATGTCTAGAATTCTCCGGCTATTTGAGCCTTGCTCTTTATTTACTGTTCTGATTTTAAAGTTTTTAAATACTGGTAACCCGATTTTGTTCATTTTCATGGTTTCTTCCTTTCTGTTTAAATTGTCCACATGCTTATGGATTTCAATGACTTCTCTGTGTAGTCTGACATGGTGGTTGTTGGAATGGTCCAGCATTTCTGTGTTCTCAAATAATATGTGTGTGTCCAGGCTGGCTCATTAGATGCTCTGACATCTCTGGTTGAATTAGTCTGCAGTGCCTGTCATGTTCCTTGATTCGTGTTTGGGCAATGCTGCGTTTGGTGGTCCCTTGTCCACAGCTGCGTGGTACTTGTCCACAGCAACCAGGCCTTAAAACTGCAGGCCATTAAATGCAAATTGCAATGTTCACATGTACCTCTAACAGACAAGAGTTATTTCTCCCACCCTGGACATTCCACAGATATATAAACCTCACTTAGTTTGCAACAGACCCCACAACCTCTGAGGATACCTGCCATAGATATGGGCAAAACGTCATGAGAAAATGCTTCTGGAACGTGGCCAACAGCCCAGAAAACTCAACAGCAACCCAATTACGGATAAATTTATCTAGGTAACCATTTTGTATTCACAATAACTTCTTAGTTATGACAGTGATTCTATTGCCATGATCATAACACTATATCTGCAATTTTAACTCCATCCCAAAACCTATTTTATTGGCTATTGGCTGCGTGAGCAGAACGGCATCCCTTTGCCACATCAGAGCACTGGTGAATGACACTTGTATCATGCTGGCAGGGAGAGGTTGAGTCAGGAGATGAAATCCTGGTTGAGTATGAGAATGGAATGTAAGTCCGTATCAGTAGACCTACATCTGCAAGAAAGAGAACTGAGTAGTCCCACAATGTCTGCATTCAGCAAGGAGCTGGAGCCCCCAGTGGCGCAATGGGTTAAACCCTTGTGCCAGCAGGATTGCTAACCAACAGTTGGTGGTTCAAATCCGGGGAGTGGGGTGAGCTCCCATCTCAGCTCTAGCTTCCCACGCAGGAACATGAGAGAAGTCTCCCACAAGGATGGTAAAATATCAGACATCATGCATCCTCGGGGAACATTCTCACAGACAGCCAATTCTCTGACACCAGTAGCGACTTGCAGTTTCTCAAGTTGTTCCTGACATGAAGAAGAAGAAAAAGTGAGGAGCTGCTGTGTCGGGAAGATAGCAAAGTGGGTGTTGTGGCTGATGTGCATTGGTATACTGGTTCAGGAGTGCTGATGCTCATCGGTAAGGAGTCCAATCATAGAATCATAGAGTTGGAAGAGACCACATGGGCCATCCAGTCCAACCCCCTACCAAGAATCAGGAATATTGCATTCAAAGCACCCCTGACAGATGGCCATCTAGCCTCTGTCTAAAATGCACATCAGGACGCCAGTTAGGGAACCTAATGCACATTGGTAGAGCCCAATGTACATCAGTACTGTTGCCAGTGTCCTAATATACATCTCAATTTACTAAACTGTTTCCCCAGCATCTCTGCTTTGTAGTTATGTTACAAAATGTAAACAGTGACATAGACTCAAGGCCCACGGCAAAGAGGGGCATCTTAGAGCTGGACCTCAGTGCGATAGAGCGGTGGGGGCATCGACATCAACCTCTTGGCAGAGATGATCAACTTGCCCGAATCGTTCAGGCAGCAGCTGATGGACAGCGGATCCATATCAGGTGGGAGTTGGCACTTGTGGGTGAAGGTGTTGGAAACAGTGCCATCTTCTGCAACCTGAAGGGACAAGTGGACAGACAGAAAGGATGTCACTGTTAGAGAGAACATTTTTCTAGAAATCTCCAGGACCCCAGGACTTGGCTATATAATTTCCCTGGAGGACTTGATAGTAAGACTCAGAGGACAACCCCATCTTCAGCCCTTGGCATTCATTTCCCCATTACTTCTGAATATTGTCATTCCTCTCCCCAGAGTCTCACCTTCTCTGCCTGGATGACAATGCAGTAGTTAAAGCTGGTCACCACAATGTCATGAGGCTCAAACTGGCTGACATCAGCCATGACCTGGTATTTGTCCCCACTGGTGATGACATTGCTGCTGCCCAGAGAAGAGGGATGTGTCGAGGAGGGAGGGCCTGGAAGGGAGCAAAGAGAGGCAGGAAATAATTACATTTAAAAAGAAATTTGCATAGTTCTAAAACTCAAAAGGTTGGTATGGAGCCCCAGGTACCACAATGGGTTAAACCCTAGTGCTGGCAGGACTGCTGATGGAAAGGTCAGCAGTTCGAATCCAGGGAGCGGGGTGAGCTCCCATCTGTTAGCTCCAGCTTCTCATATGGGGGCATGAAAGAAGCCTCCCACAGGGTGGCAAAACATCCAGATGTCCCCTGGGCAACATCTTTGCAGATGGCCAGTTCTCTCAACTACCAGATGGCCAATTCAACTGCAACTACCAGAAGTGAGTTGCAGTTTCCCAAGTTGCTTCTGACACGATAAAAAAATAGTTGTGTACCTTCAAGTAATGTCAGATTTATGGCAAGCATATTGTAAGTGAACCCATAGAAAATAATCCCATGTTGTTGTTGTTGTTGTTGTTGTTTGAGTGGGGTGACTTCAGGTCAAAGGAATGAAGAATTCATTTTGGTTTTGGCCAGACCTCACCAGGAATGATATTGTGTCCACTACTGGGCACCACAATTCAAGAAGGATATTGACAACCTGGAAAGTGTCCAGAGAAGGGCGACCAAAACAGTCAGAAATTCATGGATCCCTATGAGGAGCGGCTCAGTGGCCTGGGTATATATAGCTTGGAGAAGGTTAGGGGTGTGTGGCATGATAGCCATGTTTACGTATATGAATGGATGTCATGCTGAAGATGGAGCCAGAGATCAGAGACCAGAGATCAGTGCAATCGATTCAGATTTCAAGAAAATAGATTCCAACTAAACATTTTGAAAAACTTCCCCATTGAAAGACCTATTTAACTGTAGAAGACACTGCCTGACAGTGTCATCTTTCAGGAGTGCTTTGATTGTATTTTCCTGCAAGGCAGAATGGGGCTGGACTGAATGGACCTTAAGATCTCTTCCAACTCTATGATTGTATGACTTTACTCAGCACTTTAAATTATATATCCATTTAATTGAAGGGTAGGATTCCATGCTTACCCTACAGTTCAGTTTAACTTCTATAATGGGTTCCTTGTCCTAGTGCCATCCTTTCAAGGGCGTTGGATAGTGACTGCCATTATTCTCAGCCTTGAATGACCTTGGTCCCTGCTGGTTGATTATAATGGATGTCATCATTGTGTTTTAACATTTGCAATGTATTGTAATTGGATACTGCCATGAAAAAATAAGATAAACTTAAATGCCCAGCATTTCTAGGAATTTGACAAAAGACAACAACATCTTAGGCTGACCTCAACTTGCCATTCTGTCCATTGAAACAGGTACACAGAGTGCGTCAGAGAGGGGGGAAATAAGGATAGAGTTAGTGCAAGCAAGAAGTACCTGATTTATGTAAAGATAAATCCCCCAAAGACATCAAGTCCCATCTGTTCTTGGAAGCTAAGCAGGGTTGGACCTGGTTAGCACTTGGATTGGAGGCCACCAATGAATACCAAGTGCTATTAGAAAATTTCAGAGGAAAAGATTGGCAAAACCACCTTTGAGTGTATCCCTCAGCTAAGAAAACCCTACAGAATCCAACCACAAATTAAGAGGGAACTTGAAGACACAACACAAACAAGATCTCAGACAATATAAAAGAAATTTAGACTAAGACTTTTTAATACAGGGGACTTAAGGAAGCCATCTTCAATTCAAGTTCGACTATAGTATCAAGGACTCTCCAGGGTTTTATACCCCTACTGAGAGATGTCTGTTGGTCTTCAAGACCCAATGGCATGGCACCCATATTAAGGAATATCTTAATAGGAATGGGAGGGATGCAAGGAGGAGACTCCTTGTTCTCAACTTTCGGCCTTCCAAATGCTTTGAACCTCATTTCTCATCCAACAGGAGCAACAATAAGTGATTCTGGGAGCTGATGTTCAAAATATAAAGAGAAACACAAAAGTTGAGAACTGCAGATTAAAATATAAACCAGCCCTGAGTCCCACCAGTCTGCTAAAACACACCCTCACTTACCTGAGTATCCATAGGACTCCCTGGCCCTCCCAGTGCCAAAAATCCCATGGGGTGGGTCAAGCAGGGGTTCGAAGCAGGGCTTCCCAGAGCTATAGGTGCTGAAATGCTCCGAGCGGAAGGTAGAGGAGTTGCTGATGGAAGACGCCATCGCCCTGCCAAGGAGGGTAACCGCTCTCTGTGGAGACTGAGGTATGTGTCCTGTGTCTATGGGAAGGGACAGGGCAGTGGGGAGGGAGGCAGGGGGCGGGAAGAGCCAGGTCCTTGGCCAAGAAAACCAAGATGTCCATAATTGGCTTAGTCAGGCTGCCCTTACTGTTGTCCCAGACACTGGAATGTGAGATAAAGAAGCTGCCTACTCAATGCTTGGGAGTGAGGCGTGATGAGAAGTGGGAATTTCCACCTCTCCCATCCACCCTCGATTCTGTTCCTAAGGCCCCTTCCATACAACTATATAAAATGCACATTGAACTGGATTATACGGAATACAATATGGACAAAATGGCACAGCTTTAAAAAAGAGACAACTGCATACATAAAGGAATTTATATTTGATCTCCATCAGGATGATAGCAGGTATGGTATATTTTGACATTTAACTGCAACCTAGTTAAAAGATACATTGACATAATTCACCATTTTTAAAACTCAGTATTTTCATTTGGTCATGGGGGTTCTGTGTGAGAAGTTTGGTCCAATTCTATCGTTGGTTGGGTTTAGAATGCTCTTTGATTGTAGGTGAACTATAAAGCCCAGTAACTACATCTCCCAAATGTCAAGTTCTATTTCCAGCAAACTCCATCTGTGTTCATATTTGGGCATATGAAGTATTCAGGCCAAGTTTGGTCTAGGTCCTTCATTGTTTGAATCCATAGTGATCTCTGGATGTATGTGAACTACAACTCCAAAACTCAAGGTCAATGCCCACCAACCCTTCTAGTGTTTTCTGTTGCTCATGGGAGTACTGTGTGCCAAGTTTGATTCAATTCCATCATTGGTGAAGTTCAGAATGCTCTTTGATTGTAGGTTAACTATAAATCCCAGCAACTACAACTCCCAAATGACAAAATCATTTTTGTGTGTGTGATGGTCACTCCTTGGGTTAGTAGATGTCTTGTAGCCAAATTTGGTGGCAATTAATCCAGCAGTTTTTGAGTCATGATGTCACCCATTTTTAAAGCTTTAAGAATAGTTTGTTAGGAGTGATTTAAGTCTAAAGCATAAACTATTAAGAGACGGGATGATCTGGCATCGCTAAGGCTGCACCAGCCACCAAAGGAAGCTTATGCACTTAAGTTAGCATGTTTCTTGAAAGATGGATTTTGCTTTGTGTTCTGGGAGGTTTCAGTGTGAGTGTGCTAGGATTCCAGGAGGAATTAGTATTAATAAATGAATATTAGTTGAAGGTATTGGTTTGGCATGTGCAGAAACTCTATTCCATAAGGATACCCACTTGCAGTGAAGAAAGGAACTGGAGTTTTCAATGCACACGTCTCACGTCTCACGCATGCACACATATAAGTCAGGCTCCTGTGAAAATCCTCTGCGTGGGTGAAGAATGCAGTCATCTCCATCCTCTTCACTGGAGATGCCATGTCCGTGAGGGCATCTCTGTGTATGTGCTAAATTCCACTGTCATTTGAAAACATAAGGATGTCTTGATGCTAAGAGCTGTTGGAATTAATGGAAGAGACTGCTTTGAAGGTTGGCAGACTCGACGACTTTGGAAATCTTTCGAACAGAGATTGGATGGCCATTCTCAGATGTGCTTTTGTGGCATATTCCTGCATGTCAGAGGGTTGGACTAGATGGCCCTTTTAGTGCCTTCTAACTCTGCAATGTGGTTTGTTCCATGAAAAGCAATGCAGTCATTCGGGTACTCGCTTGGATAAGTCATAAAAAAGACATAAAAATGGGTGCATGTGTATCTGTATCTGCAAGAGATCGTTTCCTAGGCCTCACATAAAAATGTGAGGCCTATCATACCAATTTTTGCCTGAAATTTACCTCAAATGTTTCTAATTTTCTGGAAGACGTCTCTTGTCCTTCCTATTCTGTTGTTGTCTTTCACTTCCATGCATTGCTTATTTAAAAATAGGTTCTTGTGGGGTTTTTTGGGCTATAGGGCCATCTTCTAGAGGCATTTCTCCTGACGTTTCGCCTGCATCTATGGCAAGCATCCTCAGAGGTAGTGAGGTCTGTTGGAATTAGGACATCCTCACTACCTCTGAGGATGCTTGCCATAGATGCAGGCGAAACGTCAGGAGAAATGCCTCTAGAACATGGCCCTATAGCCCGAAAAAACCCACAAGAACCTAGTGATTCCAGCCATGAAAGCCTTCGACAATACATAGAAAAATAGTTCCTTATCTCTTCTGGCTAACCTCTGGAATTGCGCATTTAACTGGGCATATCTCCCCTTATCCCTGTTTCCTTTTGCTTTCCTCCTTTCTTGGGCTACTTCCAGTGTCTCAGCAGACAACCATTTTGCCTTCTTGGTTTTCTTTTTCTTTGGGACGTACTTTGTTGCTGCCTCCTGAACAATGTCGCGGACTTCTGTCCATAGTTCTTCTGGGACTCTGTTTACTAAATCTAGTCCTTCAAATCTGTTCTCCACTTCCACTGCATATTCACTAGGAATGTTAGTGAGATCATATTTAACTGGTCTGTGTATTTTCCCTGATCTCTTTAGTTAGTTTAGTTTAGTTTCCCTGATCTCTTTATATATATGAGCTGTCCCCTGCCACATGTTGCTGTGGCCCAGTCTGGTGATCTGGAAAATAAAGTTATGAGAAAGTGTTGAGAAAGTCTAATATAAGTAATTTCTTTATGCTTGTGGATAAAAAGTATTTCTTTGTCAGTGCTGATGTCGAGATTGTCTGGTTTTCCTATTCTTAAACATGCAACGTATAATTGTCCCTTTCAAATCTCTGATACTATATCTGTCATAAACATGTGTGTGTGTGTGTGTGCGTGAATCATATATATATATATATCTATATCTATGGCTGGATGGCTCTTTATCAGGAGGGCTTTGATTATGTTTTCTTGCCCTGGTGAAGGGAGTTGGACTGGATGGCCTTAAGGCAGTATTTCTCAACCTGGGGGTCGGGACACCTGGGAGGTCTTGAGGGGGTGTCAGAAGGATCGCCAAAGACCACCAGAAAACCCAGTATTTTCAGTTGGTCATGGGAGTTCTGTGTGGGAAGTTTGGTCCAATTCTATTGTTGGTGGGATTTAGAATGCTCTTTGATTGTAGATGAACTATAAGTCCTAGTACCTACACCTCCCAAATGTCAAGTTCTATTTCCAGCAAACTCCATCTGTGTTCATATTTGGGCATATGGACTATTCACATCAAGTTTGGTCTAGATCCTTCATTGTTTGAATCCATCATGATATCTGGATGTATGTGAACTACATCTCCAAAACTCAAGGCCAATGTCCACCAAACCCTTCTAATGTTTTCTGTTGCTCATGGGAGTCCTGTGTGCCACGTTTGATTCAATTCCATCGTTGGTGAAGTTCAGAATGCTCTTTGATTGTAGGTTAACTATAAATCCCAGCAACTACAACTCCCAAATGACAGAATCATTTTGTGTGTGTGTGTGTGATGGTCACTCCTTGGGTTAGTAGATGTCTTGTAGCCAAATTTGGTGGCGATTAATCCAGCAGTTTTTGAGTTATGATGTCACTCAAAATGAACAGAGCATTTATATATAGATAGATATAGCGTCCCTATTTTGCGGATTTTCACTTTTTGCGGGTGGTCCTGGAATGTAACATCCGTGATAAGTGAGGGAACACTGTATACCACTTGATTTACTGGGATTGTCAAAACAAGATTTGCAGATTTGCAGTTGGCTCCAGAGTACTGGCATTCAGCAGGCGAGTTGTGTAATGTAACCACCTATTTACTATTGAAGTATAACTTTACCCCCATGCAAACATGACATAAGATCTTGGCTAACGTATGTGCCATCAGCGACCTCCATATGCCTTTCCTGGTTGATCTGGAGATTTTGAAATCTGGCACACATTTTAATGTCTCTCCTGGTCGGCTTAATAAAGCTACTATACCAATTTAGAGTTTTGAAATTCTTGCAATATTGAAATGTATGGGGAAACCTACTACAGTTGCATCAGGATTGGTCTGCAAAGTTTGGGCATCAAAATGGCCATCATGCCCTTGTTGTTATTTCTGTGATGCCTATTCAGATGGGCAAGTCATTTCATGATACTATTGGCCTCAGGTGTGTTAACCCATAGTACCAGAATTCAAGCTTGCACAGCTCTCTCAGATGGAAACCTTGGCCTCTCTTATTAGCCTACAAAGCCCTAAGGACCAGGTTACCTGTGGGTTATCTTCTCCCTTAGAGATCCACTCAGTACTTGAGATCGTGTTGAGAAGTCTTGTAGGCATAGCAATATACTTCAAATGTTCATTTTTCATTCACAGCAGAACATTACACATGGTCACATCCACTACACAGAGTCCAATTTGCTCTGATCACGGATATGCTGCAGCTAGTATTTTTAGGTACATGTTGAAGACTTACCTGTTTTATGTCCAATCAAATATGGATAATGTAGGCTTTGACCTAAATCTTTTCATTAGTACCAAGTAGACCCATTCAATCAGGAGGAATTTATCTCTGTGTCGACTCACCATTCAACTAAAAGCTCTCCTCTAGTTGGAAGTAATAAGAATCAGACCAATCTATAAATTGGCTCTGTGTTTTGTTGTTTTTAAATGTATGTTTTCTGAATATTTGAAAATGTTAGATGTAATTGTTTTGCAAATATTCAACCATTGATACATAATCCTGCCCTTTTTAGAATGTAAACATTCTAAGTGACTCAATGTCAGAAAATAAGAATAATGTCAGAAAAAGTTATTTTTTAAATATAATTTCCCATTATTCCCCAGAAAATTTGCCCAGCTTGGGGTTTTTAGATGTTGTGGACCAGAAAAGTAACTTTCCCAAAGAAGATTATTAGTGGCTCTTCAAAATGAAACTCAGTTGTGGGAGACCCTGAAAGATAGCTTGACACAATATGTTCTAGGTTACACAACCGTTGTATTCTCAATTGCGCTAGACATTTTTCCTTGACTGTCAACTTGACTCAGTGTGTTCTAGGTCACTCAAGAGTTATATTCTCCATTGTGCTAGATGTTAATTGTGTTCTCTGAATGACATCTTGATCTGATGTATTCCAGGTCACATAACAATTATGTTCTTCAATAATGGTGCACATGCTCCCCTTGCTTAACTTGATGTGTTCTAGGGCACCCAACTAGTTCAGTTCACACCGTAAAGTCCACCAGGCAGGAATAGACTACAGAATGCACACTGAGTTTTGGAACAAGTCAGTAGCCTAAAAACCAGTGGCCTCATCGAACAGAAAGTACTGTGCAGTCCTCCAAATGTTCTTGGATGCCAGCAGCCAATGGTAGAAAAAATCAGGATATAATTATTTAAAAATTTCATTCTCAAAGGAAGCAGCAAATAACATTAGCAAATTTCTTCCTTTAATTTATTCTATTTTTGTCCTGCCTTTCTCCTGATATAGGGAGTCAAGGCAGCTTTGAGGACCATTCAGAGTTCAAGTTTTACTTTGCATGAAATTCACACATATATATTTTTTTCTGCACAAAAAGCACTATTTCACATACAGAAAATTATGTAGCTGAGGACTTATTGTGCACCAGATTTGCACATGGGTTTTTGGTGCATAAAGCCACATGTTTGGAATAAAAAGTAATAGCACAGAAACATTATTTCTGCACAAAAAAATCTGTATCCTATGGTGAAAATGCTGTTTTACACACACACGTACACACACAAATGTGTGAATATACTGTCCAGATTCTTCTCAGTCCAGAATGCTCCTTATCAAGGTTTCCCAACAAATCATAATATTATTTCCATCTGTTAAGGTTAAAAAAATTGGGCACTGTAGTCCAATGACATTTGGAGGGCTAGACAATTTGCATCCTGGCTTAATCTAAGGAGTGGGCTTAGGGATGCTACTTGAGAGCAATGCGGAAGAAGGAAACAGCAGGAATGAGCAAGATCAGTGGAAGGAAAGACAGAAAGAGACACAGACCAGTCAGTAGAACCAGCCTTTTAATGAATTACAGATACAAACGGAACAAAACGGACACTCATACCAGCCAGGGGTGTACACCAGGAAGGGGACAGGGCAGGAATAGGGACACACACAAACAATATTGTGCATTTGAGGGTGGGGAAGGAGAGCAAAAGGAATAGAGAGATGGGGTCAAAATGGGTAGGGATGCATAGGCTTTGGGACACAGCTCTGCACAGGCATCAAGAGGGGATTTACTGGGGAGTAAAAACAGAGGTTTGCACAGGGAGTAGTTGGAGGTGTTAGGAGGACTTGTACCCATTCTACAGAATGGACTGATGCTGCACAAAAGGTGGCAAATGACTGGGAGGAAGGAGGGAGTTGTGGTAATATCTCCAAACTCCTTGACTGGGACATCTTTCAATTAAACCTGGTTTTCATTTCTTCTTCCCCTGATCCCTATCACAGCCTTTCTTTCTTCATTGCAACAGTTCCCTCCTTCTACTCTCATCTTTCAAACTTTTGCTTGAACAGCACCTCCTGCATTTTTGGACCAGATCTCCCATATGTAACTGCCCCCTCTGGTTAATGCATTGTGGGAACTGTGGTCCAAAAAAGGAAATTGCCTCAACTGTGTCAAAATATCTAAATGAGACCTCTATAGTATTTAATATTTCCTCTTCCCTTAAGCAAACCTATCCCTCCCAGTTTCTCTTTCTGTAATTCCACTTCTGTGTGCCTCCATTAAAAACCAGAGCAGATTTTCTGCCTTGCCCATTCAGAAGTTGTCAGCCACTGCTATCTCCAGATGCTGTTGGATTCCAACACCCATCAGCTCCAGCCAAAGGTGATGTCTGCTGCACAACCATAGCATCTGGAACATTACAGCCCAGTCCCTTTAACCCAATACATAAGCTAGAAGGAAGGCCAGTATCTGAGTGATGCAAATCCATCCAGACTACCAGCCCTCACTCTCATGTTTCCAATGGTACCCCTATCTTCCTCTACCCACTCCCCTTCTCCAAACCCGAAGAACTATTGGACTGGTTCCACCTTAGAAATTGTGGGAGAACGTTTCACCAAGGTTACACCTAGCCCTCCCTGGAACCAGATTAAAAGAAATTGAGTCAGGCAACAAAAGCAACAACATCCCTGATTGTCTTGATGAGAGTTAATGGTTGTATTCTTACTCAGTTCTATGTATGTGTATGTTATGGGTTCAAATACTGTATTTTGTGTTAAATGAACATGGCACACAGCATGTGTTCCTATAGCTGCTGCCCACCAACTGATTCTAGGACCACAACTCCCATAATGGGTCACAGTTGGCTGTGCTAACTGGGGTTTATGGGAGTTGTAGTCTAACACCATCAGAAGGCATCTGATTGGGGGAAAATTGTTCTATAGCTAATGTATTGTCAAAGGCTTTCATGGCTGGGTTGTTGTAGCATTTTTCGGGCTATATGGCCATGGTCTAGAGGCATTCTCTCCTGACGTTTCACCTGCATCTATGGCAAGCATCCTCAGAGGTAGTGAGGTCTGTTGGAACTAGGAAAAGGGGGGTGGTTAACCCTTTTCCCTAGTTCCAACAGACCTCACTACCTCTGAGGATGCTTGCCATAGATGCAGGCGAAACGTCAGGAGGGAATGCCTCTAGACCATAGCCATATAGCCCGAAAAACGCTACAACAACCCACTGTTCTATAGCTGTATGTATGTCCCTGCACTATATTGGAACTCTTTGTGGGGGTTGCCACTTTGCAGTGATATTTTTTGGTAGCCATGCCTTCTCAACAAACCATAAGTGGCCAAGTGCAATCTAGAAGGCAAAGCATCTCTTGGCTAAAGAAGAGGGGGAATTGTGCATATTGTAGCATACTGAGCGACAGATACCTTGGATGTATAGGGTGTTTCAAAATAGTGGATCCAATTTATCTTTCCCTTTCATAAACAGCCTGTTTCTGCAAATTGCCAGTAACAATGCTGAATGCTCTTTGTCATTGGAAGATCAATACCAAAACACCACTCAAACACATGCTACACCACAATTACAGATTCAGTTTTGCTGAAAATCATTTTGCAGCATTTGTGATGGATGGGAAAGGGTCTATGGTTGCTAAACCTAAGAGGTGTGTGTGTGTGTGTAGATGTATATTTACATGCCCACTACATTATAACATATGTCTGGTTGAGTTGACTTGTGGAAAGCCAAACTTGTGTGTGCATGTGCAGAAATGTTGGAGAGATGTGCAGTCTGTGAAGGGATGCAAGCACATGTACGTCTGTGGGTCTCCTTCTTTTTCTGGACCAATGAATACTCATCGAAAACTAATGCTCTTTTCCCTCCTACTGTGAGGAAGAGGCTATAAATCTTGAATGGACAAATTCTTCAAGTCTTTGCCAAACTACAGATCTTTGGGATCCACTGGGTGCTAGCACAATGGTATAAGGCTGATATTTCCCCAGCCAATGGGCATCAATTCTCCAACACACCAAATTATTCTGATATTCCTGGATTTCCATTACTAACTTTATGGGGTGTATGGTTTCTTCCAAACTACATATTTGTAGCACTTGGGTATCTTCCTATGTACCTTATCCTATTGAATTGTAGGAGTTGTAATTTAGTGGAGGGACTCTGGAGCTCACTGGCAGAGAATTCTGAATATTCCTCTCCAAACTACAAGTCCAGACCATATTTTCTCTAGTTGGTCATAAGCATCCCTTTTGATTTCAGAGCTGCTTGGGCTAAGAAGGAGCTGAGCTTGGAAACGTTCCCAAAAAGTAACATTTCCAAGCCCAGAGGGAGGTAAGCATAGGCCATCGGGTCCTGTGCATTGTGAAGCGGCAAGGGCAAAGGGATGAAATGAGGGTCACAGTATTGTCCACCCTGCTTGGTCCAGGTGGGCGAATGGAGCAGAAGGAAATATGTCCCCCCTTAGAAAACCCCATCCTCCATGGTAGGGACAGCGACACCCCGTGAAGACGGCAACACGGAGACACACATACAAAAATATAGAAAAGATCTGGGGCAGGGTGGGAGGACTGGCCACTCCCACCATCCCCTGCCATGCTCCGTGCTCCCTTCCAATGGAGACGGCCAAGGAGGGTGCACAAGCGCATCCATGTGCCCGGCTCCGGCCTTTCCCCTTGCATCCTGTAGGTCCACAGTATAAAATTCAAGACAGTAAAAGCCAAGAAGTTGGTCCATTTGGGCCAATGTCGATTTTTTTTGTAAAAAAAAGGCATAACAAATCAAACATCCATTGCATTCCACATTCTGTTTTCAGCCCTTTGCCTTGAGCTGCAGGGTTTGGAAGGGGAAAGGGGTATCTGTATAATATACCACAATAAACTGTCTTAAGAATTGCAACAGTTCTGCTTTAAGAGCTTCAGCCATGCCAACAGGACAGCATCCAAGTGGTGCCTTTTCTTTTGGGCACGCTCAGACCAAGGCGTGTTGCATGCTTCGGACCAGACAGTGGCATGCGTCCATTCTACACAGCCCTGTTTTTCGTTATTTTGCTTTCTTGGATTTTGTTTCCGGTGTTTTGTTTTATTTTAATTCCCCCACCCCAAGACAATCTCATGCAAAGAAAAAAAACAGGCCACAAGAGAAAGAGTACAAGAGAGAGAAGATGCAGCAGGCAAAATCCACGAAGCCAAACGACAGGCTCGCCAGGCTTTGAATGGCTGAATCAGATGGCACAATGTAGGCGAGGAAGGCATAGGACGGGACCAATGGGGAAAGGATGGGCTCCTGGATTGGCGTCCATTCAGCCCATCTTCCCCTGCCCAGCCTTGGGTCATGCCACCTCCTCCTCCAGGTGGGGAGGATCCATCCTCTTCAGAGAAGGGACAGGCCACGGAGCAGGGTTGAGAATGGATGCCACGGCACGGGACAAGATGGCAGGTGAAGCATGCCACGGAGCGAATAGAGATTCACTGCTCTCTGCTCTCCTCCTCTTCCTCTTCCTTCCCCCTCCGCTCTTCCTCTTCGTTGTCATCGAGAGACACCACCCCAGAGGAGGCCACATCGGAGGCCTTCCTGCGGACGTGGCAGCTGTCCTTGTGGGCCTCACAGTCCTTACACAGGACTCCCCCCTCTTCCTCCTCCTCCTCTGTGGGTGAGAGGCAGGACTCGGTGAACGACATGGAGTACAGAGAGTCCTGGCACTCAAGCTGTGCCAGGCTCCGGAAGGCACATTCGCCGGTGATCTGGGTGGCCGGCAACTTGGAGAGGAGCGCTTCCTCCCTGCCAGACAAGGAGCCCAGGAGTTTGATGGCCAGTTCGGAAGGCGAGCTCAGCTCCTTGAGCAGGAGGCTGTCCTCCAGGCTGCAAAGGCTGGAGCACAAAGTCTCTGGAGAGATGGTGGTCTGAGAGGAGTCACTCTCTGGGTCGCAGGAGCCTTGCCGAGCATTCAGCTGGCATAAGCGGCTGTGCAGGAAGCCCTTCAGCAGGGTGCTGGGTGCAATCTGGGGCACAGCATCTGCAAAACAGCAAGGAAATACGTCACATTGAGGAGGGGGCAAGTTTGTTTTCTGCTTCTCTGGAGACTATGACATGGAGCAGAGGATTCAAATTAAAGGAAAGAGGCCAGGAGAGGAGGTGGACAGGGATTGCTATCCTGTGTCCCTGGGCCACCTGAGTTTGGACACATGAGATGCCAGTGTGGACAGCTGTGGCTGGTTCCAATCCGGAACCATTCCTACAGCCCCAAAGTCAGAATATTCTGTGTCAGAATGTGGACTTCCCCTTTGTGGTGGAATGAAAATCATGCATAGTTCAGGTATCTACCAATCACACTGTCTTGCTAGAGAAAAGATATGCCATGCAGATTATCAGTAAAGAATAAGGTGTTTACTCTTTCTCATGCAGAGCAACATATATACAGTCATGTGAACAGCTGCATTGATTCACACATTGTCCTTTGAAAGAGATTCAAATGGTCCTTAGGTGTCCATGTGAAGGATCTTCTTCCAGAAGCCCAGAAGCAAAAATACAAACTGTCTTGCTAAGCTCTTGCACAGAAAACCTAAACATGTAACTGCTGCCAAAACTCCCAAGCTCAGCTAGCTTCTCAGACGTAGCCTAACTAATCAGCTTCGTGCTTTGCATTTTTCAGTTAACACTGAAAAATTTTACATGCTCCAAATCTTTGACTTTTGCATGTTCCCTGGATCAGCTCATGTGGCATTTGGCTGACATGGAGCTGATCTGGCTCTACACTGACCTAAGTGGTCGGTGTGGCTGTGATCTGAGTTTGTAGAGACCACAAGCACCATCTAATCCAACCCACTTCCACAAACTTGTTGTATCTTCCAGATAATAAAAAGGCATCTATAATGTAGCATAGCAGTTTGAACGTTGGACTATGACTCTGGAGATCAAGGTTTGAATCCCTGCTCAGCCGGGAAAATCCAATGGGTGACACTAGTCCTGTTACAAGAGGCAGTGAGTGGCTTGAAAAGAAAATAGAATCAAGGAATCATAGAATAATGGAGTTAAGAGAGACCTCAAGGGCCATACAGACCAAACCCCACATCACTTCTCTCCAGGTGAAGAGGATCCATCAGTAAGCACCAAATCCACCTAGCAGTAGCATTGTCTAACCTACACATTACTAGCTTTTTTTGCAAGAATATCAAATACCTCACAGAGATCAAAGTATCCACAGCATTCACTTTGTTTGTGGAGAAGGATGCAGATTTACACACTTTGTACATACATGTGTACCAGCTGCCGGCCTGACTGCATAAGGTATGTTTATTTCAGCTTGGTACGTCAAAACCTGGCTACCTCCATGCACATTTTGGCTACATACCTCAGTCAAAACAAACATGTATTTTGTGTTCTTTTGATTCAGAGTAATCTGCCTCCCTTCAAATTAGCAGGGTTTATGTTAATCCTTTTCAGCAGTGGGCGCATGACTCTTTGCCATGGCTACGGCCCCCTCCCACCCCGGTGACGTGCGCAACCTGAGGGAAGGTAGCGTTCTCCCATCCGTGTCACCTCCGCCGCCTCCTCCTCTTCCTCTCTTCTTGCCCACTCATTCTAATTACACAGAAGAATAATTAGAACTTTTCTTAGATGCCGCGCCAGCAGATTACCGTTGACTTTCTTTGATATGCAAAGTTAATTGTAGGGGAGAAATACAGAGAGAGCTTTTGTTTGTAGAGGAGGACGCAGATTTACGCACTTTGCCAACACATGTGCGCCAGCTGCCAGGCTCACTGTGCGCAGCGTGAAAGCCTCATTGCTCAAGCCAAGGGCAAGGCCTAGTGGCAGAGAAAAGAGAGGGCACATCCTGCAAAAACGGTTGCCACCTTTTCGACAGCATGGAAGCCAAAGTGGCATCTCCAAACCAGCCTGTGAATAGCAGGTCAATCTGGGTATGTTTGCAAAAGATCTCAGAGCTTTGCTAGACTAAATGTGAGAGAACTGTATGATGCAGCAGTCAAAAAAGTCAATGCAGTTCTGAACTGCATCAACAGGAGCATAAAATTACATTTCCACTAAAATGATAATACTTTGATTTCTATTTTAAGTATTGTTTCTTCAATTTTATGTCGATTGCTTGAGAATTCTGGCTGCTTGAGTCCAATGAATTGGAAATCTGCTGTATTAGAGTGCGTGCATTAGTTGGAACAGGCATGTTCAAACTTGGGCCCTCCGGGTGTTTTGGACTTCAACTCCCACAATCCATAACAGGCTGAGGCTGAGGGGGGGGGGGAAGGAAGGGGCCTGAGGCTGTAAGGAATTGTGGGAGATGAAGTCCAAAACACCTGAAGGCCCAAGTTTCCTCATGCCTGAGTTAGAGATCTTGATTTAAGGAGCCAATGGCTTGGAGAAAAGAGACTGAGCTTTCTTGTAGGAACTCCATTCAAAGTTAGAATGGTGTGGTTGTTAGCCGCCTTGAGTCCCCATAGGGGGAAAGACATGGTATAAATAAAATAAATTAATAAATAAGATAGGAGGTAAAGTGGGAAATGCAACAGTGCTTAACACTGAAGAGGTTTTTTTGTGTGTCAGGAGCAACTTGAGAAACTGCAAGTCGCTTCTGGCGTGAGAGAACTGGCTATCTGCAAGGATGTTGCCCAGAGGACGCCAGGATGTTTTGATGTTTTACCATCCTTGTGGGAGGCTTCTCTCATGTCCTCGCATGGGGAGCCGGAGTTGTCAGAGGGAGCTCATCCACACTCTCCCCAGATTCAAACCTGTAACCTCTGTGCTACCGGGGCTTCCTACACTGAAGGGTGAAAATGCCTCAAAGCGGACAGTAGTAAAATGGCTAGTTCAAGTGATCTGAAGTGACCTCCCTTTAGTAAGTGGTTCTTAACCTGTGGGTCCCCAGATGTTTTGGCCTTCAACTCCCAGAAATCCTTACAGCTGGTAAACTGGCTGGGATTTCTGGGAGTTGTAGGCCAAAACACCTGGGGACCCACAGGTTGAGAACCACTGCTACGTCTACCTATCCTCCCTCTATGCCTTCTTGATCCCTCTGGGATGTAAATTTATATTTTCAGGTCCCATCTTGTTGCTTATTCATCACCAAGAGTTGCTTCCGACTCTTGGTGTCCTCCTGGACTAGCCCAGGCCAGAGCTCCCTGTTGGCAGTGGCCACCCCCAGCTCCTTCAAGGTCAAACCAGTCACTTCAAGGATACCATCTATCCATCTTGCCCTTGGTCGGCCCCTCTTCCTTTTTCCTTCCTTTTCCCCCAGCATCGTTGTCTTCTCCAAGCTTTCCTGCCTTCTCATTATGTGGTCAAAATATTTCATCTTTGCCTCTGATTTCCATCCCGTCCCTAGGCTTTATTTCCTAGAGTATGGACTGGTTTGATCTTCTTGCTGTTCAAGGCACTCTCAGAATTTTCTTCCAACACCATAGTTCAAAGTCATCTATCTACACTGTAGGTCCCATCTACACTGTTTATAGGCAGTTCGAAACCGCATTATATGTCAGTGTAGACCAGTGGTTCTCAACCTGGGGTCCCCAGATGTTTTTGGCCTACAACTCCCAGAAATCCCAGCTAGTTTACCAGCTGTTAGGATTTCTGGGAGTTGAAGGCTAAAAACATCTGGGGAACCCAGGTTGAGAACCACTGGTGTAGACCTATATAATGCAGTTTAAATGCATTCAACTGCAACATATTCTGTCAAGCATTATAAGCATCTACACTGTAGAATCAATGCAGTTTGTCACCTCTTTAACTGCCCTGTCTCACTGCTATGGAATCCTGGGAGTTGTAGTTTGGTTAGGCATCAGCCCTCTTTTGCACGGAAAGCTAATGTCCGTGTAAAACTACAACTCCCATGGCTCCATAGCATTGAACCCTGATAGTTAAATGTGCTGTCAATTCTACAGTGTAGGTGTTGTTCTCACTTACCAGCTGGTTGGGTTGTATCCGAAGGTGTGGCATAATCTTCATCGTAGGATTCGTCGTTGGAGTCATCTCCATCCACCGAAGACCAGGCCCGCAGCTTGGCTTCTGCAATAGCAAATTGCTCAGCAACACCTGGGAAGGAGTGAAGGACAGCAAGCAGAGTAAAAACAATGGAAACAATATTGAAGGAACAAATCATAGAATCATAGAATCAAAGAGTTGGAAGAGACTTCATGGGCCATCCAGTTCAACCCCCTGCCAAGAAGCAGGAATATTGCATTCAAATCACCCCTGACAGATGGCCATCCAGCCTCTGTTTAAAAGCTTCCAAAGAAGGAGCCTCCACCACACTCCGGGGCAGAGAGTTCCACTGCTGAACGGTTCTCACAGTCAGGAATTTCTTCCTCATGTTCAGATGGAATCTCCTCTCTTGTAGTTTGAAGCCATTGTTCCGCGTCCTAGTCTCCAAGGAAGCAGAAAACAAGCTTGCTCTCCCTCCCTGTGGCTTCCTCTCACATATTTATACATGGCTATCATATCTCCTCTCAGCCTTCTCTTCTTCAGGCTAAACATGCCCAGCTCCTTAAGCCGCTCCTCATAGGGCTTGTTCTCCAGACCCTTGATCATTTTAGTCGCCCTCCTCTGGACACATTCCAGCTTGTCAATATCTCTCTTGAATTGTGGTGCCCAGAATTGGACACAGTATTCCTGGTGTTGTCAAACCAAGGCAGAATAGAGGGGCAGCATGACAACCCTGGATCTAGACACTAGACTTTTATTGATGCAGGCCAAAATCCCATTGGCTTTTTGCCGGCCAATCACATTGTTGGCTCATGTTTAACTTGTTGTCCAAGAGCCAGGCGTTCCCCATTTTGTATCTTTGCATTTCGTTTTTCTGCCAAAGTGGAGTATCTTGCATTTGTCACTGTTGAACTTCATTTTGTTAGTTTTGGCCCATCTCTCTAATCTGTCAAGATCGTTTTGAATCCTGCTCCTGTCCTCTGGAGTATTGGCTATCCCTCCCAATTTGTGTCGTCTGCAAACTTGATGATCATGCCTTCGAGCCCTTCATCTAAGTCAAGGAACGAAGGAACGAAGATACGAAGGAAGGGAGAAGTGTTAGAATCAGAGTGTTCTGCAGCAGGAAGTGATTCAAGACCACTATGATAAAATAAGTGGCTTTTTGAATTTCAGGTGAATTTCAGACTACCCGGAAGCTGTTTTCTAACTGTACGGTGCATCTACACTGTAGAATAAAAACAGTTTGATACCACTTTAACTGCTGTGGCTTAATGCTGTGGAATCTTGGGAGTTTTGGTTTGGTGACGTATGAGTACACTTTGGCAGAGAAAGCTAAAGTTCATGTAAAACTACAACTCCTGTGTTATGATAGCATTAAACCAATGCAGTTAAAGTGGTGCTAAACTGTATTCTTTCCGCAATATAAATGCACCCTAAGTGAAATAAATCATCCACTACCGAAGTCATTATGTTGTTGTTCCTGTCATCTTTGTCACTGTTGTTGTCATCGCCATCACATTCATCCCATGTTTTTCCTAAACCTGTAGCTTACAAATCAACATGAAAAATACATAAATATTTTTAAATATTTAATATATGAATACTCAAATAGCTAAAGCATGCAAGTCAATGTTAACAAGTCTCCAGTGATTCCAACCGCGAAAGCCTTTGACAATACAAGTCAATGCTAAACTGGAATAAAGCTATTGCTAACTGTCAGGACTGCAATAGGGGAGTCCTTGTGGTCATGTCACTGGGGAGACAAAGAGGGATCTGTGTTTGTAGTGTATCGGTCCTTTTGTGGCCCTGTCACTGGGAAGAGAAATGGGGATCTATCTTGGTAATGGATGTGAGGGGGGCGTAGGGCAAACACCCTGAAGGTATCATCATCAGGAAACAACGAAACGCTAATCGTCAAAAGATCATGGGATGGGAGGAATGCCTTTTCTCTCACTGAGTTGCAAGGAGATGAGTGTGATTTATGATCTTGGGCACAATTGACATGCAAACCTTTCAATTTTGAAAAACCAGGAACATTGGTATAGTGTGTTATCAAAGGCTTTCATGGCTGGAATCACTAGGTTGCTGTGGGTTTGCCAAGCTGTATGGCCATGTTCCAGAAGCATTCACTCCTGACGTTTCGCCTGCATCTATGGCAGGGACCCTCAGAGGTTGTGAGGTCTGTTGGAAATTAGGCAAGTGGGGTTTATATATTATTTATTTATTATTATTATTTATTTACAGCATTTATATTCTGCCCTTCTCACCCCGCAGGGGACTCAGGGCGGATTACAATGTACACATATATGGCAAACATTCAATGCCAATTAGACATACACCGTATATAGACATACAGAGAGGCTATTTAACTTTTTCTGGCCGCCAGGGGAGCTGTTGCTTTCATCGTCCATCTGCGACACTGATGAAGTACTTCCGCATTCCCCGCATGCTTTGCTGGAGTGCTTTTGCTGGAGTCTTTTTTATGGCCTCATAAATTAGTTAAATTAGCCTCCCCACACATAGGTGGTACCTAATTTTCCTACTTGACAGATGCAACTGTCTTTCGGGTTGCAAAGGTCGACAACAAGCTACACAATTGGTCGGAAACTCACTCCGACCCAGGCTGGCTTCGAACTCATGACCTTTTGGTCAGAGTGATCTTAATGCAGCTGACACTCAGCCAGCTGCACAACAATCCCGCCACAATATCTGTGGAATGTGCACTTGTCTTTTTTAGGCAAGTGTGAATGTTGCAGTTGGTCACCTTGATCAACATTGAATGGCCTTGCAGCTTCATAGCCTGACTGCTTCCTGCCTTGGGGAATCCTTTGTTAGGAGGTGTTAACTGGCCCTGATTGTTTCCTGTCTGTAACTCCCCTGGGTTGTTTTTTTGGGGGGGGGGGGTTAGTGTTGTTCTTTATTTACTGTTTAGCTGTGGACAAGTCTACATAAGTACCACCAAACACAGCATTGACCAAACATGAATCAAAGAACAGGAAAGGCACTACTTCAACCAGAGAAGTCAGCCATAGCAGAACACCTGATGAACCAACCTGGACACAGCATATTATTTGAGAACACAGAAATGCTGGACCACTCGAACAACCACCATGGATACCAAGGTGCTTGTTTATAAAGCTATTGTCCTCCCAACCCTGCTATATGCCTGCGAAACGTGGACTGTCTACAGACGTCACATGCAACTCCTGGAATGATTCCATCAACGTTGCCTCTGAAAAATCCTGCAAACCTCTTGGGAAGACAGGCTGACAAATGTCAGCATGCTGGAAGAAGAAAAGACCACCAACACTGAAGCAATGGTCCTATGCCATCAACTCCACTGGACTGGCTGTGTTGTCTGAATGCCCAAAGATTACTGTCTACCAAAGCAGTTACTCTACTCCCAACTCAAGAATGGAAACATAATGTTGGTGGACAAGAAAAGGGATTTAAAGATGGGCTTAAAGCCAACCTTAAAAACTGTGGCATGGACACCAGGAACTGGGAAGCCCTGGCCCTTGAGCACTCTAGCTGGAGTTCAGCTTGACCAGCAGTGCTGCTGAATTCAAAGAGGCATGAATGGAGGACAAAAGGGAGAAACGTGCCAAGAGGAAGGCGCATCAAGCCAATCCTGACCGGACTGTCCTCACTGTGGGAGAACATGTGGATCAAGAATAAGGCTCCACAGCCACCTACGGACCCACCGCCAAGACGCTACACTTGGAGGACCATCATCCTCGTGCTACAAAGGATTGCATAAGTAAGTAAGTAACACTACATTTCAAGGTTTCCTGCCATACGGGTGATGGCTTGGTGGAAAATCAAGGCAAGCTCATTCCTGGCTTCCTGTCATCCCACGATGCCCTGGCACTGATGAAGCTTCCAAGTGGTAACCTTGCTCCGAAAATAAACCCCAGGGAAGGAAAATGATCAGGCCGGTTTATTCATCGAGGCAGGTGGCAGACGCTCCCAGAGGAAACCCATCCCGGCGCTCACCCGCCCCGAGTGCCATTGTTGCATTTCACGCATTCATTGATCTTAAACACATGCAAATTTAAAACTGCCTACAGCCCAATGTTGAGCTGAGACGAGACAAGAGACGGGCAGGCAGAGAAGTCCGGCTGCCCTATATTTTACTGGCAGTATAAACTGTGCAAATTAGGACAATTAGCATGACACTGCCAAATTGACACGCTTTTGTGGCAAACAAGGGATTTATTTAGGCCAGGGTCTCGGTTTCAGATGGAGAGGCTGAGCTATTGGCAAGACAGACACCCATTGACAGAGATACAAAGAGAAATCTGGGGGAGGGATTGCTGCAGGAAAACTTGCTTGTTCAACTACAATATTCAGAATCCCCCCAGCCACCATGATCAGGTGGAGGGGGGCCCTTCTGGGCATTGCAGTCCAATAAAGGAACACTTTCAAGCTCAGATCTGACAGGCTTTTCTAAGAAGACTGGCATCTAATTTCAAGGAGGGCCTCCCCTTCTCTTTCTCTTTCCCTCTGAAGTCCGATTTCAAAGAAACCTAAGAGCTGCGTCAGACCTGAACTTCATCGAACCCAACCTTCTCTTCTCCCCAGCAAGTTGCACATGAAGGGGTTTGCGCTCAGTCTGTTTGAATCCTCAGCATTTGGTCTCCCCAGAAGAGATCTGGCAAGATTCCAGTGCTGTAGTGGTAATTACAGAATCACACAGTTGAAAGGGTTCACAGGGGTCATCTAGTCCAACCCCCTAACATGAAGAAAGAGAGGCCCAACCAACCTTTGTTTAAAGACCTCCAAGGAAGTGACTCTACCATCTTCCAAGGTAACCCAACCTATTCCACTAACGGATTATCTCTTACAATCAAGACATTTCTTCCTAAAGTTCAGGCTAGTGGCTCCTAATCTAGTTCTCCCAGAATTCCTGACTGTAGGATAAGTGGACTGAGGCTTCTGGAAGTCAAAATCCCAAACACTTAGAGGAACACACTTTGGGACCTACCAATTTAGGTGGGATCCAATCTGAATCACTGAATTCTTGGAAAAGAGATTCCACCTAACATTAGGAAGAACTTCTTGATGTTAAGAGCTGTTTGAATATGCTGCCCAGCGGTGTGGTGGAGTCA